TTATTTTAATTTACCTGTTAGTTTTTTACTATAGTTATCTCTTTTTGAGGTTTTTCTAGTGGTTGCTCTAGGTATTACATACTGATTTTTACAGTCTAATTGGAATCAATATTTTACCACCTTATAGTAGAATGTAGAAACCTTTCCACCATAAAGATCCTTGAACCGCCCCCCCCCCTTGCTGTTATAGTGGCATATATTTTACATCTATACACACTGAAAAACTAAAAATCTTATCTGATAATGTCATGCTTTTGCTTTCAGTCATCATACATATTTCAAAGATTGCAATAGGAGATTCCATTTCATTTGTTCTGCCTTTATTTCTAACTAGAGGCCTGTGCACGAATTCCTGCACAGGTGGGGTCCCTTGGCCTGTCAAGCGATCGGGGCCATCTCGCCCAGTCCTGATTGGGGCTGGCCGGCCTTGGGGAGGGACCACAGGAGGTTGGCCAGCCACTGGAGGTTGGCTGTGGGAGCGCACTGACCACCAGGGGGCAGCTCCTGCATTGAGCATCTGCCCTCTGGTGGTCAGTGCGTGTCATAGCGACCAGTCGACTGGTCGTAAAGGTCACTTAGGCTTTTATATATATAGATGTTCCAAGCTTCCCTCCAGTATCATTTCCCTTCTCACTTTAGCAATTCCTTTAGCGCAGGTTTGCTTAGAAATACATTATCTTTGTTTTTATCTAAAAATGTCATTATTCTAACTTCATTCTTGAAGGATTTTTTTCAACTGGACATAGAATTCTGAGTTGCTAGATTTTCCTCCTAGCACTTTGAAGTTCTTTTTCACTTCCTCTGACTTCCATGGCTTCTAACGAGAATTCTGCTGTCGTTCAAATCATTGTTCCCCTAAAAAGAGTGCAGCGTTTTTCTCTGGTTGTTTCAGGTATTTTTCTTTGTGTTTAGATTACAGCAGCTTGATCTGGATATATCTAGGATAGGATTTCTTTGGGTGAGCCCTGTTTGCAGTTTGCTAGGCTTCTTACATCTGTAGTTGTATACCTCTAGCCAACTTTGGAAATTTTTTGCTATTTTTTTTCTACATCCCACTCATTTTCCTCTTCTTTGGAACTCTAATAATTTAAATGTTAGACCTTTTGGCTTTGGCCCACAAGTCCTCAGGCTCATTTGGAGGGTTTTTGTTTGTTTTTAACATTTGCTTCTGTGTATTTTAGATGGGATCATTCCTGTTGACTTGTCTTCAGTTTCATTGACTCTCTCCTCTGGTGTTTCCATTCTGCTATTAAGCCCATGCAATGCAGTTTTAACATTGTAGTTGTATTTTTCAGTGCTAAAATTTCCAATTTATTCTTCTTTATAACTATGTTTCTTTGAAATGTGTCTTTTATTTGTTTATTTATATTAGGGGTCTCTTCCCTTCTCGCAGCATTTCTCTTCCAGATCCTTTAAAGTGGTCAGATGATGTATATCAAGTCATCATGCTGTACACTTTAATAGCCTGCAGTTTCATTTGTCAGTTGTGCCTCAAAAACCTGGGGCAAACGTCAGGTGATTCCAGCTTCTGTGTCATCCCAGTCTTGGTATTTGTTGGTTCTCTTTTCCCAGGTGAGTAGAGTTTCCTGGCTGGCACCTCTGGCCTCTCCTGCCCAGCCTCTCCTGCCTGGCCTCTCATGTGTGGTGTCCACAGGCCTCTCTTATCAGAGCCAGGCTAGGCTGGGTCAGCCCAAATGTGTAAGTGCAGGCTGCCCAACGTCCACTCCCACACGTGGCACGAAAAGAGCTCACATGAACGGTGGTGTCCACGATACAGGACAAGGTCTCTCCATGGCCGGCGTTGGGAAACTGCGTCACCACCTCCTGGCTGATGATGCACAATCCACACAGAGAGCGAACTCAGGAAACAACGTTTGCAGGGCTGGGTGGTCACAGAGGGTGTGTTGTAAGTAGGCGCCCAAACCATATGAAAATGGCCATGTCGTCTGGGTCAGGGTGCTCTTGACCCCACAGCGCAAACATGAAGCGGGACCCCAGAACAGGCCACAGAAAGGATGAGGAAGAGAGGATGAAGGAAGGAACTTCACTCGACACAGCCCAGAGTTCCCGGCCTGCTCTCTGCGGGGCCCTGTGGGAGAGAAAAGAATCCTATTTCACGGCACCCCTTTGGCCACCGAAGGATTTATATGGTCTCCTCGAGCTCAGGAAAATACCTGTGTGTGAGTTTTTACGAGCAGCTTTTACTCCATTATGGAAGGATATTGAACAGCCGAACGTGTTGGCCCGCCCTCCAGAGCGGGCTCAGCTGCAGCATCTGCTTCGGCACAGGTTGGCGTTCACGGCACCGACGCGGAGAGCCGCCTAAACTAATCCATGCATTTGCTCCCTGCAGGGGGAATTGAGTTTCGAGATACATTTCTAAAAAGATGTGCTTGATTGCTGAGCGTTGCCTTCTTTGAGCTTTTCTCCCTAACACATTGCCCCGGATGTACAGGGTGAGAAATGGTCTGCCATTGACAGTGAAGCTGGAAATGTTGGAAACTCTGTGCTCTGATGTGGCTGCGTCATTGTCTTATGATGCGACGCTTTCACCCTGGGAAGGAGGACGCTCTGTGAGGTGGCGGGGATGCGTCGGGGCTGGCGCTCTGAGGACGCTGGAGAGGAGCCCGGCTCCCGGACTGCTCCGTGCTGCCGTGGCTTCTTATTTCTTTTTAATCCTCACCCGAGGAGGTTATGTTTAGAGCGAGGAAGGGAGCAAGAGAGAGAGGGAAAAAAACCCAACATTGATTGGTTACCTTGACCAGGGATCGAACCCACAACCGAGGTCTGTGCCCTGACTGTGAATCGGACCCGCAGCCTTTTGGTGCCGGGATGGTGCTCTAGCACCGACCCACCCGGCCGGGGCTGTGCTGCAGCGGACCTGGCATGCACACCTCTCCTCCCGTTTCAGCAGGTTCTGGAAGTTCCGGGCTGTTCTGGGAAACCCGGGTGCACCCTCTCCCCGAGTCAGAATCCAAAAACAGAAGCCGGCCACCCTGTGCTCGGAGGCAGGGGCCACGGCCCTCCGCCCTGACCGGAGCTGCCCTGCTGCTCCCACGCAGCTGCCCCAAAACCTCTCCTCCTCAGCCCATGGCCGGGCTGCCTTGGCCTCGTCCTCCATGTTTTTCAAATCAGGGCGACAACAGCAGCCACAGGCACAGGGATGAGCAGTTGGTTTCAAACCTCCTTCTGAAGAAGTCCCAGTAAACAGGCTGTTGCCTAAGGAAACCCGCCCAGCCGCCGGCCCTCCACACGGCCTGTGCTAATGAACCCCAAGCTGTTAATGTGGTTTCTTCAGTTAAATTGATTCATGAATTTTGAAGAGAACATTATCTAATGAATTTTCTTTGAATAGAAAGCAATTAAAAGGACAAATCAGTCTGATTAACCCCAAAGTCACCCTCCTGCCACAAATGGTGTACAGTTTGAAATTATATCATAAGAAACTGGAGCACACTTGCTATCTTTTGCCCTCGCCTAATCCGTGTAAATTAATGAACAACAAAGTTAATTTCTTTGATGACCCTTTTCTCGTATCACCTGGATTATGCTGATGTTTAATTTGCTTAATGTTATAATAAAGACCAAACAGATTTTTTTCCCGGTGACGTGATTACCCTTCCCTTCATTTAAGAAGTGATTTTTATTATTTAACGCACATGTAAGGGTGTGTTTTCTTTTAGAACCAAATTGCACTTTGCCAGCTTGGCACAGAGTGTAATTAGTGCCATCACGGGCACGGTTGGGACACCACTCCTCCCAGCGAATCCTCCCCTTGGTTGGTGCCATGGGGACCTCCTGCCACACAGGGCTCAGTGCCCCACTGCAGGGACGCAGCTCCCCCTGTGTCCAGCCCTCCGAGCCGTGTCCAGCCCTCCCAGCCGTGTCCAGTCCTCCGAGCCGTGTCCGGCCCTCCCAGCCATGCCCAGCCCTCTGAGCCGTGTCCAGCCCTCCCAGCTGTGCCCGGCCCTCCAAGCCGTGTCCGGCCCTCCCAGCCATGCCCAGCCCTCTGAGCCGTGTCCAGCCCTCCCAGCTGTGCCCAGTCCTCCCGAGCCGTGTCCGGCCCTCCCAGCCATGCCCAGCCCTCTGAGCCGTGTCCAGCCCTCCCAGCTGTGCCCGGCCCTCCGAGCCGGCGTCCCCTGCAGAAAGACAATAGGCATCATCCAGACTGGCCTCCTTCTCAGCCCCGGGCTTCCTCCTGCAAACCCTGCACCAGAGACGCTCTAACACAGGGGTTCTCAACCTTGGCTGCACATTAGAGTCACCTGGGAATCTTTTTAAAATCCTGATTTTCCGGAGGAATGAGGCCCAGAAATCAGGATTTTAAAAAGATTCCCAGGTGATTCTAATGTGCAGCCAAGGTTGAAAACAACTGCTCTAACACCAGGGGTCGGGGGAGAGCGCTCTCGTGTTCACCTGTTCGTCCTCAGCACGTGGGGAGCGCTGCAGTTAAAGCCAGAATGACGTCCTTTTATCTGCAGCCCTGCTCACTACAGATGCCTATAGCAAGGTCACTGCCGACCAGGGTCTGCGGTTTGGCCTTGAGTCGGCTCGCTGCCGAATGCGGGCGCCAGTATGACCGCCCGGCTGGGCCGGGGCTTCTCTTTCCTCCTGGGTCTTGGCTGAAGTGGGAAGTGAACCGGCAGCGAGAAGGATTTCTCGAGGTCGGTGGGCAGGCGGGGCCTTCTGTGCGTAGGAGCTGGACCACGTGCTGATTTATAGAGGCCCGTGGACCGAGAGAGCATCAGGCAGGAACGGGGAAGGCGGAAGAGGCCGCCAGTCTGGGGTGCGTGGCCTGGGGCCCCTGGAAGGAGCCGGCCGCTCTGTGCCCGCCTCACGCACGTTCCCTGTGCAGGAGCCCGTGGAGCCCGTGGAGGCCGTGTTTCAGTGGAGTGAAGCGCCTCTGTGTCGATGCCTTTCTGCTTTGGCACTGGCAGCTGTTTGTATCAGAGCTGTGGGAGCCGGTTGTCCAGATAACGTCATTCTGCATTCCCTTCTAGACTCATTCACCGGACAGGTGTTATGGAAGCTGCTGAAGGCCGTGAAATTCGGAGAAGTGGTTTCTTACCAGCAATTAGCGGCGCTGGCCGGCAACCCCAAGGCCGCGCGGGCGGTGGGCGGAGCAATGAGAAGCAATCCTGTAAGTCCGGGTGACCGCGGAGACAGGTTTGGCGGGTGGGCCTGGGCACCACTCCAGTGCCGTGGCATTTGATGTGAGCATGTTTCCCAGGCAGCCTGTGCGGGGGGGGGGGGGGGGACAGGAAGCACTTGTGATGGGGACCTCGGAAGAGATGTGGGTTGGGACCCCCTGTTTGGGGGGAGGTGGTGAAGGAGCATCCCAGCCGCCTCTGAAAGCCCCTTCCTTTGTGTGTTAGAACCACGGGAGCCCACGGGGACGGGGCCTGGCGAAGGGGCGAGCAGACATCCCTTCATTCATTCAACAGCAGGGCGTCCTGGGTGCCAGTGTAGCCACCTCTCCCGGGTGCCGATTCCAGCAGGAGGCAAAGCAGAGTGAAAGGCCCCTCCAGTTTCTCACATTCTAGAAGGTTCATGGGCCGGGTCCAGCTCCCCAGGGCATCTCTGTTACGAGGTGCAGCCCTCCTGGGCCTGACCACCAGGGATGGCTAACCTCTGACCTGGGCTCCTGGCTGGATCTGGGCATGGCTGCCCCGAATTCCCTCATGGCCTGTCCCTCCGGTGTGTCTGACGGCGGGTTTGGCCGAGGGCAAGGCTCACAGACACATGAAGCCGTCTGCTCCAGAGGATGGGGCCGCGGTGCCGGTGGCTGTGCCTGCCGTGCCCAGAAGGACAGAGGGCACCTCTGGTTCCCATCAGGTCACACACGGGCCAGAGGCTGTCCAGTCACAGGAAGGAAGTCAGCACAGTGAGGGGAGAGGCCGTGACGTGGGCCTGGGTGTGGGCAAGATGGGCTCCCCGCCTGCCTGATGGCTCAGCCCTCCGGAGACCCCGCTCGACCATGTGAGGCCCCTGGAATGTGCCCTCCCTCCTCGCCTCTGCAGGACCGCATGACACGCTGTCCCATCGGCAGCGGCTTCTCCCTGCCGCCACGGGGACGTCTCTGATACGACAGAAGAATGCCATCCGATCGGGCAGAGCGAATAGCATCCCTGAGTCTCGGGATGGGAAATTACTGAATCAGACCCACTTTCTGAAAAACTGTGTGGCTTTGCTGTCTATTTTCAAAACTATTTTCCTCCCTGCTCACGGGGGACAGGCGGGCGTCTGCACGCCACAGCCGGCTGCACCTCCGCTGGCTCGTGGCCGCCCTGGGGCAGAGCCGGCGTCTGGGAGGTGGCAATTACATAGCCTCTCGCACAAAACGGCCTTGTTGCTCTTTGAGAAGCATCTCCTGGCGGTTCGCAGGGGGTGGCACTGTCTTAACGTACATCCACTCTGCAAGAGGTCTTCTGCAGCAACGTGACATGGGTGACGCACCGCGTCCCCTCCCGTGTTTACCATGTTTCCCGTGTCTCCGTGTCCGGAGCTCTCGGTGACAAGGGCGCTGTGTGCACCGCTGTCTGTCATTGCTGGTGCCGGCCTATCGTAGGGTACATCCCGCCACGCAGAGGGCCGCATGTTTGTGGAGCCTACGGCATGATTCCGAGTTAAGTTTGGGAATATGGTTGTTGTGTTTGCCAATAAAGCTTCAATGCATCTTCCCTTTGGGAGGTCCCCATCCTCTGCTGGGTTGTGAGTGGTTCGATGTTGCTCTAGGTCAGTGGTTCTCAACCTTCTGGCCCTTTAAATACAGTTCCTCATGTTGTGACCCAACCATAAAATTATTTTCGTTGCTACTTCATAACTGTAATGTTGCTACTGTTATGAATCGTCATGTAAATATCTGATATGCAGGATGGTCTTAGGCGACCCCTGTGCAAGGGTCGTTTGACCGCCAAAGGGGTCTCGACCCACAGGTTGAGAACCGCTGCTCTAGATAAAAAGGCCCCCGGACCCTGTGGTGTCGCGGCGAGAGGAACATCGGAAGCTAAAGGGGTTTTTGCGCCACTTCCTGCGTCCCTGCAGACAGGGCCCTCTGCAGGATGCTCCCTTCCCCGTCCCCACCCTGTTCCGGCCAGGTTCCTGCTGCCCGGGCCCCATGGTGAGCTGCTCTCTCCCGTCTCCCTCCCTGATGCTGGGTGGGTGCCCCAGGTGCGCACAGGCACGTGGCGCCCACACCCGGCTGTGGAAACAGCTCTCTAACCGACGGATACAAATGAGGAGCCCTCACCTGCCTCTGCGGCGGGGACGCCGTGGCGCTCCAGCGATCGCGCTCGTGGCAATATCCAGGAACATTTATTGTCGTGCAACCAGCGCGACGCCTGCTCCTGCTATTAATCTCCATGACTGTCTCTCTGCAAGTATGGCCTCAGCCACTGAAATTTATAAAGTAGGATCCACTGGGCCTAAGACTCCGATGTCCACCAAGTCCTCATGTTGACCTCCCACCACGTGCCCAAGTCGAGCCAGTGGAGACTCCGGACCTGGCAGGAGCCAGCGGTGGCCACGAGCCTCCCATTGGGCACCTCACCCACCTGACGACGAGGCTGCCTGGGCGCCAGCAGCTGCAGGACCTGAGCGGGGCCGCCAGCTGGGGCGCAGGCGTGTCCGTGTCCATGGCTGGTGGCCCTTCAGCGTGACGGGAGCTGGACAGTCCTCACAGGGTTTCTGTAAAGTGATGAAAACCTCCTTAGAATGGGCCGGGGGATCCAAGAGGTGACTCAGACCCACAGGAGAAAGAGGTGCTGGCCAGGACTGGACATGCCTGGTGTGGGCGTCCCGCGTGACTGTCCCTCCCGTGGTGCTGACGGCGGGCTCTGCCGCGCCCTCACAGACAGCGTGTTGTGGAGACTGGCTCCCTGGACACGCCTGCGTTCAGGCTGAAGGAGCAGCTGAGCGCTCCAGGGGGAGGTGGCCACGGGCCGGGGTGTGGGAGGCCCGTGGCGCGTGCAGCCTCCGGGGGCTGGCAGGAGCGCGGACACATTGGGTTCACTGCCCTTCCTTGCCAAGGGAAGGCCTGCTTTTTGCTGGGTGGGAGTTTCGTCCTGTCCTAGACACTTGGGGTTTCTCCAGAGTCTTCCTGGAGGCACTCGCTAGCCTGGGGAAGCCGGCGTGGCAGCCTCCGGAAGGCTCTCCCCGCCCCAGTGCGGAGGCGGGCCCGTTTCCTGGTAGATTGGACTGAAGAGGCCTGCCCCCCTCCCCCTCAAAGCACCAGCGCTCACCCACAGACGGAATTTGCTTAATGCAGTTCAAAGGCAATCGATACGGTGCACGGAGAGTCTCCCACCTTCTTCTAAACAAAACGCCTTCCAAGGAGTTAGTTTATTCACAGATTGCCACGAGCGTTAATGACCCCGAGCCGTGCTCTGCCAGTCACCCAGACGCTGCTGATAAAGATTTAGCATCATGTTCTAAGTGTCAGGGCTGTCAGTGGGGCTGAACCATTTGACCAGAAGAAAAAAACGCACAGGGAGCTATTGATTACAGCTTCTCGGTGTCACTTGTTCACCAGGATTTAGGTATTGATGAGGCCGCGAGTGAAAACAAGCCCTTCCCCTGTGGGCTGCTGCCCGCAGAACAAAGGCGAAGCTGGAGAAAATATCAGCCGGCCCCGAATCAGAGGGATTCCCTATTGATTGAAAGGCCCCCTCGTGTTGTTTTTGTTGGAGACAAATCTCTGGGTTTGGAAGTTTTATAGCGTTTGAGAGAGCGCCCGTGTACGTGATGGATTCGCGCGTTGGATGAATTAGATTTCACAGCGTGAAGGTTCCAGGGCAGCTGCCATGTTAGGAGCTGCTTGGTTATTGATAAAAATTACGTCTTACGCAGCACAGTCGTCGAAGGAGGAGGCATGGAGGGTCCGGCTCCTCTGCAGCGTCCTTAGGGCCCCAGTACGTCTTAGCAGGTTTCGTTATTCTAATGGCGTGAGACCTGCCACCAGCATTCATGGGAGCGGGAGCAGCGTCCCCATGGCCAGGGCCGCCACGGCGCGTGTTTGGCTGCTCACCTGTTCCTGTCACTGCAGCCTGGCCATCGCTTCATTATAACTGACTGTCCTCCCATCGGCTGTCCTGTTATCTGGGTGTCAGGCAGAAGGAGCGCCCGGGCTCCTGTTACTCACTCTGATAAGCGCATGGCTGGCAGGGGGGCGGGGGAAGCGAGCAAGGGCCGCATGGGAGATCCCTCAGGTGAGAGACTTGAACCGGAGCCTGACTGTTGGCAAAACCAAACTGAATGAGACGCCCCCCTCTTTCCCAGCGAGAAACTTGAGCTGCATGTGATGTCCCCACACCCTCCCGGCAGTTGTCCAGGTGGCCGGGGCCCTGGATGAGAACCCGCAGTCAGAGTGACTGCTCCGGTCTTAGCCGTCTGCTCCCTCCAGGAAGGCGGGAATGTGGGCCGTGTGCAGGACTGGGCCGAGCTGCTGCTTCTCACGCTGTGAAACTGCACCGAACAGGAAATCCCAGGCCGAGGCTGCGTGCGTTACCATGGCAACCCGAACTTCTCGTGGGAATGGGGACTCCTACTCTGTGCCGGGAATGGCCGGTCCCCCCGGCCCGGTGAGGGGTGTGAGGGTCGGACTCCACCCTGCTGGACGGGATCCTTCTTTGCCCCTAAACAGCCACGTGAATGAGCTCGGGCCAGGGACTGAATTCGACCGGAGAGTGACAGCCGGCCTGGCGTGTTGGAGCTCAGGATGTCACATGAGCCACTGGGGGCACAGAGCACACTCTCCCGTGGCCTATGAGACCACGTCCAGGATGGGGACCAGGCCCATGCGGCCCGCCCAGGGCCAGGGGCAGCTCGGGGCCCACAGAGCCCACACTCGGGCAGTGGGTTTGTGCGGCGAGCTGAGGTGAACCGGTGCCCAGTGGTGCCCGGGCTCCGTGCTCCGTGAAGGGTCTCCAAGGATGCCGAGGCAGGAGTGGCCTCCCCAGGGAGCAGAGGTGCCCAATTCCGTGAGAGGAGATCCAGTGGGGGCTCACCCGCTTCCTCTAGACACTCAGCTGCCAGCGGCTGGCCTTCGTGTCTGTTTCGCCAACTTCGGAGGTGGAGTGTGGAGGTCGGGGTACAGACCTTCTCTCTGCTGAGCTGCAGCCGAGGGGAGTGGGCGGTGGTCAGGACCTGGAGCCCGAGAACCCTCACCTCCAGGGCCTGGCAGGGCCCACCCTGTGTGCTCACGGAGGAGCACATGGCGATCAGAGTGCGAGGCTCCCCGTGTCAGGGAGCCATGCTGTCCTGCTCGGGGGTGGCCTCCGCACAGGGCACAGGGCAGGGTGGGGCATCCAGAGCATCGGGGTCTGACCGTGTCACTGGGCGGCCTGCTCCCCGTCAGCAGCCCCAGTGGCTGCCACAGTGAATGCAGAGGGGCCGGGCGAGGCTGAAGGGCAGCGAGGAGCTGAGGGTGGGCTGGAGGGGCCCAGGGCTTGAAGGCACCTCCCGGATGTGAGCTCCGTGTTACTTCTCAGAAAGGTTTGGGAACTTCATGCACCACCCCATGACTTGGAATGCAATTTTAAATTTTGTAAATGCACTTTAGGAATCTCTTCCCAAATGAAATTAAGTCTCCCCTCCCAAATCCCGGTGCACAGGGATTGGCTGGAGGATGCTGCACGCTCACCTCGGGGATGGCATCCCACCCCCTCCCCCGCCCCGTGGAGACCCCAGAGACCAGGGAGTGGTGCTGAGACCGAGGTCGCACATGGATGGGCCCCAGTGGCAGCCCCAGGTCACTGCCCAGGGGCCCAGCACCTCCCTGGCCTGCAGCCCAGACTGACGGGGCCACCTCTGTCTTCCAGGTCCCCATCCTCGTCCCGTGCCACCGAGTGGTCTGCAGCAGCGGCGCCCTGGGCAACTACTCCGGAGGGGGGCGGGCCGTGAAGGAGTGGCTTCTGGACCATGAAGGCAGCCTGGCGGGGACCCCGGCCCGTGCAGGGGGCTCCCGTCTGGCCCGAACCTGGTGCGGGGCCCTGAGGGGCAGCAGCAGCTCAGAGCCCACCGGCCGAGACTGAGCACCTGTGGCAGGAGTGAGTGTGTCAGGGACACGTCGACGTAACAGCCTGTCGGAGGGGTCTGTGCGGACGCCCCGCCACATTAAAAAGCTGCCGTGTCCTGGGGACGTGTGTCCACCTCCCTTTGTCATTTTTACCTTTTACCGCAGAGCGAGTCCCCTTCTCTCGCTGTGTTGTCCAGTCCTAGTGTGTCAGGCAGGGATGGGAGGGGGGACTGGGAACGGGAGGGCCACCGCCCATGGAGGGAAGCATCGGTGTCCATGGGAACAGCTGGGCGCCGCCCAGAGCCAGCTGCAGCCCCTGGGACCACAGCCACCAGGCCATGGCCCATGCAGCCTGTCCAGGCTGCAGCCTACCCGTCCCCTCAAGAGACTGACCACCTGCGTGGACCCACCTTCCTTCCTGGTGCGGGAACTGTGCCTCGGTGAAGAGGGTGCCCGTGGAGGTTTCCTAGCTTTGTTTGCCCAGCTGCCAGGAAAGCTCGTGCAAGATGCGGCCACTTTTGATCCGTGTGGATCGAGTGGAGAGTAACCGCTTATCGGAACCATTGGAAGATCAGCCGCTCTCTGGGCTTGGCTGTGGCTGTGGCTGGAGGGCGCCTGACAGAGGGATGTGGTTTCACATGCCGACCCCTGACCCCCGCCCCGCTCCTGGCCTTGGCGCACTCCAGACAGCACCCCCAGGTCATGCCTAGAGTCAGAGGTCACCCCAGGAGGTGGGTCAGCTCCTGTGGCCGGGCATCAGGGAGCACCTCCCAGCATCTGTGTGCGGCATCTGGGCCTTTGTTACCTGTTGTCGTCTTGCTCGTCACTGTGTCTGAAAGCAGGGACCCGGCGCTGTGCGTGTGGTAAATAACGTGGGATGTGATGTGCGCGAAATAACTGCACCCGCCGTGCGCCGGAAGCTGTATTTCCGTCAGGGCTTCCTGTGACAGTGCGAGCCGCCGCGGAGAAACCCGGGTGAAAATACAGCCTCGTGATGTGCCGGTTGGGACGTAGTTTATATTTCATATCACGTTCCCCACGACAGAACAGGGACCTAGCGGAAACCAGCCTTAGGGCTTCCTCTCCCGTGGCCATTGGTTCTCTCCTCCTCCGTCAGCCAGGTCGATTCTGGATTTCCCCTTCGGAGATGAAGTGCCCTGAGCACAGTCCATGCGCCCTTCCGATTCCCGCCCTTCTCAGGCTGTAGTTTTGGAGCGAGCGGAGTCCTTTTCCCACAGTGGCGGGTAGACCCCTGGCGTGGGGCCACCCCTGAGCCGGCTCCGTCAGCCGTGGGCGCTGTGCTCGTTTCGTGCCCCCCTCAAGCTTCCGGAACCGGAGGCGTGTGGCTGTGGGAGCAGAGGCCGGTCCTGTTTCCAGCAGGTTGGGAAGACAGTTGGGAGCCTGGGTGCACTTGGCATCAGGGAGTCGTGAAGGTGGTTGGGATCCAAGTTTTCCCAGGAAAAGGCTTCCCTCCATCACCTCAGCCACTGCAGCCATCACCTCGGCCCTGTCACCTCGGCCTGTCCCCTCCGCCCCGACAGCAGGGAACCCTGGCTCTCAGGCAGCAGCTGGCCTTGCCGGCCGGTGTGGGTTCTCGCTAGTGCTTTCCAATAGAGGGCACCATAGCAGTGCGCTAGGCTGTGGTCGGGAGGCCCGTCCCCGCTGCCTGAGAACGGCTGGAGGACGGTCAGCAGGTGGGACTCTCAGAGGGGCTGTGACAGTCCCATGTGCACGGCGGCCATCGGGGCTGCTGGCGGTGAGCAGGCCGCCCTGTGACACCATCAGACCCCGAGGTTGCTCTAGATTTCCCACACTGCCCGTGTGCTCTGCACGGAGGCCACCCCCAAGCAGGACAGCGTGGCTCCCGGACACGGGGAAGCCTCCCACTCCCATCTCCGGGCTCCAGGGGGCTCTGAGGAAGGGCCCTGGGCCGCCCCGGGCCAAAAAGCCACGCATACCTGCAGCCGGCGAGGGCCAGGCCCCTGCTGCAGCTCAGCCACGTGCAGCGAGGGACCCACCCCGCAAAGCCGCCCGAGGTGACCTGGCCACTCTGTAGGGCCTGGCACCGCCTGCCTGGGCCTCGCCCTTGGTGCAGCACAAGCCCACACTCTGTTTTCTGTCTCCCAGGGCCTGCTCGGCCCTGTCTGACGGCTTGATATATGCCCCGAGGTTGCCGCTGACAAAGGCAGCAGCGGGCGCACACGGCAGGGCCATGTACCGCTCCAAGGACAGGCTCTGCAGAGGCGACATGAAAGCCGGTGCGGTCGCCTAGAGCCGCTGTCGCTCAGCATCGCAGCGCAGCTTATAAACATAAAGAGGAAAAGGAAAGGCACAAAGAAATGTAGAATATTTTCCCAATAAAAAGAATGTCGACACAAGAACGCTGTGTTCTTTGGCCTTGGCCCCGGGTCCCCTCGCCAGTCCGGTTTCCAGTCCTTCCCGGGCTTAGCACGTTGAATGCTGACACGGGGACCCGTGGGCGGCACAACAGCTGGCTGCGCACAGCAGCTCGGCCTGCGCGGGCTGTTCTCACCCGTTTCCAAAGCCCCGATAATGAAAGATTCAGAAATAATATTTGTTTTTGCAGAACCGCACGTAATGAAGTCGGCGCCCTGGCTGCGCCGCGGCCAGACCAGGAACCTGGAGGAGGGACTGCGGGAGGGTCGTGTGCAGCAGGGCACGGGCACAGGTGGCGGTGGGCGGGTTTGGAGGAGGTGGGCAGCCTGGCAGTGGATCACTGCATTGGGCTCAGGGCTGCCCCGGCTGGAGTAGTTGTGAGCAGCCCCGTGCGGCTCTATCGCCGGCTGGAGACGGCGATCCTTCCTAACGCCAGTGGCTCCTGCACACTGTCCTCCAGGGTCTCCGCTCTGCATGGTTTGTTCCCCAGAATCTCCTGTGTTGAGTGGCCAGGCGTCTCCAGGGTCAGTGTGTCTATAGTGAAACCATCGCTCCTTTTCTCTTTTTGGTTAACCCTCATCCAAGGATTTTTTTCCCCCATTGATTTTTAGAGAGAGTGGAAGGGGGCGGGGGAGAGAGAGAGAGAGAGAGGAAGAGAGAAACATTGATGTGAGACAAATCGATTGATTGCCTTCTGCACACACCCTGACCTGGGCTGGGATGGGGCCTGCAACCCAGGTACATGCCCTTGACTGGGAATTGAACCTGGACTCTTGCGTCTGCGGGACAACGCTCTAACCACTGAGCAAACCAGCCAGGGCTGTTTCGTAACCCATTTGTGAACGAGGGTGTTATTCCAGAGATACATCCTTCAAAACGGCGGTGTCCGGAGGCAGACCTGTCCGAGGTGACGCTCCACACGTAGTGGGGGCGCGTTGTGCCGGAGCCCGGCAGGTCCCATCCTTCCTCTGAGAAGCTCACGGTGACATCCCCCAGAGATGCCGCCACAGACTCCTTTGTCATCTGCGTGGCCCTTCCAGGACGCCGGGCCCTGCTGGCATGTCCTCTCCCGCCTCCTCAGCACCAGCATGCCCCACCTCGGCTGTCGGCATGCCCGCAGCTGTGCCCACAGGCGGCAGTGCCAGCTCGAACCCCGGCCACCACTGGGATCGCCGAGATGTCACAGCTCGCTCCATGTGAAAATTGCTCCTCTCGCTTCCAGCTTGCCAAAGATCTGAGTGCTGTTTTGGTTTTGAGCTGCATGTAGGGAGACTCCAACGTGATAAATAAATGGGCTGCAGAGGGGACGCACGGGAACAGAACTGTTTTATTTCAGGCAAAAGATTTTCCCTGAAGACCAACCGGAAACCGAGCCTGTCGCCGAGGTCTCCACGCGCTGGGGTGCCCGTGGGCCTTGGTGTTGCCGGGTCTGTATTTCCACGGGGCTGTCCTGGCGGGGGCCGGGGCCGGGGCCAGGGCAGAGGGCCCGCGAGGAGGGTTACCTTTGGCCTTCCTCAGCCCATCCAGGGCTCTCATTTCCCTTTCTTGTTTGTGGACATTTGATGGCAAGTTTGTGTTTAGGAAGCTGAAGTTCACATCAGTTTTACGTGTTATCAGTTTGAAAGATGTTGAGATTTAAGCAGAGCTCTGCCAAGCAGCCCCTGTCTGTCTGTCTGTCTGACTGAAGGAAGGGGGGTGGCAGTTGAAAGCCAGGCCCGGAGCTGGAGAAACTGCAGGGTCCGGTGCGTCTCTCAGTGACTGAGGACAGCCGCCCGGAGTCCTTGGCCCCGTGGCTCCAGCTGCCGACAGACGGAGGGCGTCTGGCCTGCATCACCGCTGGCTCGCAGGACCTGGGCCGGGCGGTGCGCGGGCTGTGGACCGGCAGCGAGGTGCGCGTGGAGGCGGAGCCCAGCCTGCCGGCGCCTGGGTTGATGAAAGGTCGTCGTTAGCAAGCCTTTAAAGTTGCTCATTACTGTTCTTTTCACTGAGAAGTTCCACATGGACGGTGGTTAGGATCGATCCTGAAAACTGTGGCACCGGGGGTGGGGGTGGTGACGGGCACCCTCGAGGCCCGCCCTGAACGCCCTGACTCCCACTGCGCCCTGGGTTCCTGGTGGGTCTCCGGGACGGTGCTCTGTGTGGACGGAGGTGCTGGGACTCTCAGGCCGCAGTGGCGCTATGGCCTGAGGAAGTGGGACGGAGCTGCCATGTGATCGATGTCATGAACTCTGACCCTGTGGGAGCAGAACGGGGAGGCTGCTGCAGGGGGCTGACATGCGTGTTGGCGTCACCGTGGGTCCTGTGGGCCCATTGGGCCCGTGCAGCGCTCTGAGTGGCTTCTCTGCTGTCTGTGAGGTTCTCCATGACGATGCATCAGCCTGGGGCCTGGGCATAAGGGACTGAGGGCTGGCAGCTTTGTCCCTCTTCTTCCCTTCTTTTTCAGCTGTCGAGTCATCCACACCCCCCCCCACATACACATATGCCACTGTGCACACACCACCACACGCACACACCATGGCACTCACACACACAATGGCGTGTGCACACACCACCACACACACACACCACACACACACACACACCACGGTGCACGCACACACCACTACACGCACACACCACCACACGCGTACACACCGTGACACGCACACACACCACCACACGCGCGCACACCATGGCACGCACACACACACCACCACACCCACACACACCACAGCGCGCGCACACCA